AGGGCTGGCTGTTGATCGAGGGATCAAGTAAAAGGTGAATTCAGGCCACTGCACTACAGCTGAACAAGAGCACCATACTGCAATGGGATGACGGAGTGAGGAAGAGAGTTCTGCAGCTACAAGCATGCAGGATCCCTCTGTCTGTGAGGGAGGGCCCTAAGCTCTGCCAAGAACTCCCAAAAATATGCAGGAGGCTGAGCTTGGTGCACGTTGCTAAATAGCCTGTCAAACCCTGCCACTGGCTATTCTTTTCAAATCTGAAAGGAGTGCAGCCCCCTCACGTGTGGAGCTGCACATGCTCACCCCTGCCCCAGGCAGCCAGGGAGAGCCCAGCACACACACATACACCCCCCCTCCCTGTGCCCCAGCAGCCACAGAGACAGCCTGGCTATCCCAGGTAGGCACCAAAGGCAGCTTTGACTTCTGCCAACCCCACAGAGCTACAGCAGGGCTGCATTTACCAACATGTAACCTACATAAGCAACAGAAAGAAGGCTCAGGCCAGCACTGGACTTGGACTGCAGGAAACAAGGACTGCTAGTAAGCACTGTGGCAGGAGTCTATCAGTCTCTCCCATTGCCAAAAAACAAGTTTTGGATGAATGCTGGCCCATGGAGCAGCAGGATGCACGTCTGTTTTCCTCCCTCAGGAGAGGGGTAGCTGGCGCAGATCTCAGCAGCATGGCTAAACTGAACATTTTCAACTCCAACCTAGTCTAGAGGAAGGGGGGGGAAAGCAACCCAGGGCTCAGTTGTACAAATATGAAGTGTTAAGTGTTTATTTTAGGTTTCATATCACAAGCCTTTTTCAGAGACAAAACTGATTGTGCCCTCTGTGTCTCTAGGTACCAGCTATTTCCTAATTTGAACAGGCTGAAAAGAAATACTGTACCTTTCAGTAACATCCCATCAAGCTCACCACACGGTAGCTTTACACACTCTGCCCTATACCTTATAAAGGAAAAGCCACCACCAGAAGGCTAAATGAATGTACACATGCTAATATTGTAAATGGAGCAGCTAAACCTTGGCAATTTGCTTTGTGTGGATTTTTTTCTTCCCAGTAAATGTAGCACTTGAGCTCATGAAAACTCAGCTGTTCCAGCTTTAAATACATTTAACATCTCACTGCAAGACTGTATTTAATTCAAGAATCTAAAGATAAGCAAACCTGTTTCGCTGTGAGCACATTGTAGAGAAGTGAAAAGGGGAGTTTATTTTTAAAAAAGAAATCATAATACAGTGATGAAAGGGTTAAGAATGCAAGAATTCAGACATTCTGTGGAGGGTCTCTAAGAGGTCCATAAAAAAAGGAGCAAACAAATCCATACAACAGGAGACAGCAGGAGACAAAGTTTGTTTGATCCTTCCCCCCCATGCTTTTTTGCTGGACTGCTGCTAGGTTACTGCTGCTCCCTTCTGTCCTGAGTTGGCAGGGCAGTACAGGGGCATAGAGGGAACAAGTCACGACTCCTCATTGCCAGAATCATCATCATCATAACAGTCAGCATCCTCCTCCTCCTCATCTTCATCATCAATGTCATCATCATACAAGTCATCATAGAGCAAATCTGAACTGTTGTCATTGGAAGGCACTTTAGTTTTGATGCAGTACTCTGCCAGCGTAGTGGGGACCTTCACACCATCCTTCTCTGCCTCAGCCTTGGTAGCCAAAACCTGTTTCCTGTGGGGAGGAGGACACAGCGTGAGCAGGTCCATGTGCTTGCAGCAGCATGGCTCAACTCCCAACCCCTCCTGGCAGCTCAGAGTCAGGAGAGCTGATGTTTAGCTGAAGCACCACAAGCAACACTAGAATCAGATTTAGCTCCCCCAGCCTTGGGAGCATTCCAAGAATGTTTGCAGCACACATGCTCTCAGCAACATATGAAATCAGTTATTCTAGAGGACTCCACATTAGAGACCTGACAGAACTCAAAGCAAGTTTTATTATATTTGTTAAGAGAAGCAATGTTCAGGGATTTCCTAAAATTACTTATTGAGGTGGGTTCAGAGATGCCATCCATAGCTACCCTTCGCCTCTGATGGCTCTACCTCAGCATACTCAAAACTGCAATTTTCACAAGCATTTGGCAGCTCTGAGCTCCCACTGGAAGGTAAGAGCAGTCCGAGCACATGGCTGCACCCCAAGATGCAGCTGTAATCCCAGCACTGCCTGGGCAGGAAACAAGCATTCCCCATTATCCTAGGACAGGCTCTAGCAGCACTGCCTCCCAGCAACACTTGGGCTGTGAACTGTTGCTGGCCTGCATTGCCCCCCCAGCAGGGAGAAGAGCAGGTGGCAGCCTGTCCCTTCACCCCCACCTACCTGCTCAGCAGTCTGCCATACTTTGTTTATGGAGTACATCCAGCTCCACTGAAGCCAACAGAGCTGGAAAGGACTAAGATAACCTCCCAGCAAGGCTCTTTGCACAGCTTGGGCCAGCAACTGACTGCCCTGCATAGCTCCAACCAAGGGTATATATCCTGCACATCCAGCTAGCAGAATCAGCACAGATGTGGTCTTGCACCAGGCAAGCATGACAGTGGTCCCACTGCCGTATGGACTGCCCATCTGCCACTCCACAGCAACCCTGGCTCAAGTTCACATCATCTCCCTGCAGCACCTGATGAACCACAAACTTCTCAAAGGACAGTCAAGACTGAACAGTGAACAGAATTAGTAGGATGCAGTCAGTCTGAATCACATCCCAAGCAACACAAGCAGCACTCAAAGGCAAGCAGGAACTTTGACTGGTATTTACTAGCAGCCAATAGGTTTTGCAGAGCATCATGACAGATTAGTAAAAAAAAAAATTAAAAGATAGATCAGCCCAGTCCTCCTGCTCCAGAAGTTTGCATCACTTCTGTGTGCTGAGAATCCTAGAGGGACCAGAAGCATGAACTTGGAATAAGACTCTCAAATTCATTTCCAAAGGAGCAACCACAGCAAGAAGTTGGTTTCAGCAAATTCTGCAAGCAGCCTGTTTCATAGGATTCAAAGCAGGAGGCCAGTAGCACAGCATCACACATGACAAAACTTACCTTATAATTTCAGCATACTCCTTGTCTTTGCCTTTACTGTCCCTCCATTTCCTGAACATGACTGATGCATCCACATTGGCAGGGGGGAACGTGTTTGGCTCATTAAGCAAAGAGATTACACTCAGTAAGATAGTCCTGAAAAAGGTAACCACAACAGCACAGTAAGAGCTAATACATTAATGGATTCTGGATGCTGACAACTTATTTAGGTAATGCATCAGAAACTTGAAATCAAGACTTAAAGATAATTAGGGATAGCTAAGGATAATAGTTGAAGTGAGAGCAGATGTTTATGAGCTTCAGACCCTGGCCATCGGCATAGAGGACACAATACTGTATTGGGTTTGCATGGCAAGGTTTTGCTAGCGAGGAGGGTACAGGGGTAGCTTCTGTGAGAAGCTTCCCTTATGTCCGATAGAGCCAGTGCCAGCTGTCTCCAAAACAGACCTGCTGCTGGCCAAGGCCAAGCCCATCAGTGACAGTGGTAGCATCTCTGTGATAGCATTTTTGATAAAAAGGAAAACAAACAAAACAACCACCAAAAAACCTGTACAACTACAGACAGAGAGGAGTGAGAATATATGAAACAACTCTGCAGACACCAAGGTCAGTAAAGAAGGAGAGGGAGGAGGTGCTCCAGGCACTAGAGATTCCCCTGCAGCCTTTGGTAAAGACCATGGTGAATCAGGCTGTTCCCCTGCAGCCCACAGATGTTAACAGCGGAGCAGATATCCACCTGCAGCCTGTGGAGGATCCCACACTGGAGCAGGTGGATGCACCCAGAGAAGTCTGCGACCCCATGGGAAGCCTGTGCTGGAGCAGACTCCTGGAAGGACCCGTGAACCCATGGAGGAGCCCATGCTGGAACAGGTTTGCAGGCAGGACTTGTGACTCTGTGGGGGACCCACGCTGAAGCAGTTTGTGAAGAACTCACATTGGAGAAGTTTGTGGAAGACTGTCCCCTATGGGAGGGACCACACACTGGAGCAGGGGAAGAGTGTGAGGACGAAAGAGTAGCAGAAACAACATGTGATGAACTCACTGCAACCCCCATTCCCCTGCACTACTGGGGGGAGGAGGTTGAGAAAATTCAAGAGTAAAGTTAAGCCTGGGAAGAAAGGAGGGGAGACAGAAAGGTGTTTTAAGATTTGTTTTTATTTTCTCATTATCCTACTCTGATTTGATTAGTAATAAATTTAATTAATTTTCCCCAAGTTGAGTCTGTTTTGCCTGTGACCAATTGGCAAGTGATCTCTCCCAGTCCTTATCTCAACCCATAATCCTTTCATTATATTTTCTCTCCCTTATCCAGCTGAGGGGGAGTGATAAAGCAGCTTTAATGGGCACCTGGCATCCAGCCAGGGTCAACCCACCACAAATACAAACCTCAAAGACCTATTCTGACAACAGACTATCATGTCTTTGCGCATGCTTGTGATAGGGCAGCAGGCAAAGCTTGCATTAGACCAGAATTCAGCTTGTCCACACCACCCATGGATGGTGCAGGGTTGGAAACCTGCTTGGTGAGCCTGTTCCTCATGACATTCAGCCTCCCAACAGAAAGCCAGGCTCTTTGCCTACCCTGTGTAGGAAGGACAACTATGACTTTTCTTTACTGTGAGGGTGGTGAGACACTGGCACAGGTTGCCCAGGGAAGTTGTGGATGCCCCCTCCCTGGAAGTGTTCAAGGCCAGGCTGGACGGGGAGCAACCTGGTCTGGTGGGAAGTGTCCCTGCCCATGGCAGGGGGGTTGGACTGGATCATCTTTAAGGTCCCTTCCAACCTGAACTATTCTATGATTATATGATTCTATGACCCAAGGCCATCAAATGAGGCTGCACTGTCTTCCATGCTCCACAGCATTTTAAGAGATTGGAGCTGTGGCCAGGTCTCTCTCCTCAGCCCATGCACTACTAAAACTGCTGTAGTAGCACTCGAGTGCAGCAAGGGGAAGACAGTGCAGATGTTTTTCAATACCCAAGCAAGCCACTAAGGGCCCAGCAGGATTCAGCTGCTGGTACTCAGCAAACCCAGCATGAGCCAGTCATGTAACCCCTTACAGACAGACAGCCTTCACAGATTTTTAACAGCAGCGCACATGTGCTAGTTGCCCTGCTGGCATTTACCAGGGGCAAACACCACCTTCCTCACCCAGACCTTTCTCATGCATTTCCTACAACCCTTTGCACTTCAGAGACTCAGCCTTTTGCTGCTCACACAGTGCCACAACTAGCACAAAACTCAACAGCAAGTCACATCAGGCAGCTCTACATACCCGGCTACCTGGCTGTAGTTACCACCACAATACCTTCACATGCCTGAGGTGGTCCTAACGGCAACAGCTTTTGATTTAAACAGAATGGAAGAATAAGGGAAAAGGAATAAGTCTTGAAATACAGCAGTACATGGCAATTGATTTGCAGAACTTGATTAAAGGAGGCTACAGCCCGACCTGTACTTACATTGACTTAGGGGCACATTCAGACCAGCATGTACCGAGCACATCTACCAGATCATGTAACTGGGATACAATTCCTGGAAATGCTTGGTCATTTGGATACAGAGTTTCATGAAAGGCTTTGAAACTAAACACTCGTGCCTGGCCAGACCGTTCAGCACAGCTATCAGGAGAGTCTTATATAATTTACTTTCCAAATTATATAATTCAACAGAAAAAGAGAATAGCAGCTCTGGACAAAAACTGTCTGGTCAGACTGGAATGATGGGCAGAAGAGAGAATTCACCATGCCCCAAAACTGTGATAGTTACAAGAGAAAATTTT